GGCAATGCAATTTATTTTTGCATTTGGATCTTAAGTGTAGCCACATTGCTGAGCGTTGGTTAGTTTTAGTGTTTGTGTATTTGTTTGAAGTACTGTGTGTAGTCAGCCATATCCTTGCAAATAGCCGTGGTATTTTTTCTTCTGGGTCTTTTACATGTAATTTCCTTTTCTCCTCCCACCAGCTAGGATTTCCAATACAGTGTTGAAAGGAAGTGGTGATAGACCTCTTTGAATTTTGTTCCTACTTTAACGGGAATTTGTTTTGCTGGGGCTCCTGGGCGGTTCGGTCAGTTGAGCATCTGTCTTCAGCTCAGGTCATGATCTCAAGGTTCAGGGGTTCGAGGCCCACATCAGGCTGTGTGCTGACAGCTCAGAGCCTGGAGCTTTGGATTCTCTGTCTCCCTCTTTCTCTCTGCCCCTCCCCACTCACCCTGTCTCTCTCTCTCTCTCTCTCTCTCAAAAATAAACACATTTAAAAATTTTTGTAGGGGTGCCTGGGTGGCTTAGTCGGTTAAGCGTCCGACTTTCGCTTAGGGCTCTGTGCTGACTGCCAGCTCAGAGCCTGGAGCCTGTTTCAGAGTCTGTATCTCCCTCTCTCTCTGACCCTCCCCTGCTCACGCTGTCTCTCTCTCTCTCTCTCTCCTAGAAATAAATAAAAATTAAAAAAAAAATTTTTGTAATAAAGGGAATTTGCCACTTAAGTTTCTAGTTGATACACTTTATATATCCTTGAAACACTTGCAATTATCCCTCTTATTTGTAATAACCATCTTAGGGGGTGTGAAATGGCATTTGTCCAGTGACTAGGCTGTTGAACATCTTTTCGTGTGCCTGTTAGCCACTTATCTATCTTCTTTGGAGAAATTCAGTTTTATGATTTGCAAATATTTTCTACCATACTTTTCACTTTTTTTGATGGTATCCTTTGAGGCACCAAAGTTTTTAATTTTGATGAAATCCATTAGTTCCATTTTTTCTTTTGTTGACTGTGTTTTTGGTATTATAACTAAGAAATAGGGGCACCGGGCTGGATTTAGTCAGTTAAGCATCCGACTCTTGGTTTCGGCTCAGGTCATGATCTCACGGTTCATGGGTATGAGCCCCGCCCGTGTCAGGCTCTGTGCCGACAGGGCTGAGCCCGCTTGGGATTCTCTCTCTCCCTCTCTCTCCTCCCTCCTCCCCAATTCGCACTGTCTCTGTCTCCCTCAAAATAAATAACTAAACTTAAAAAACTTCCCTTAAAAAACCCACAAAGATATACTCCTGTTTTCTTCTGGAAGTTTTATAATTTTAGCTCTTATATTGAGATCCGTGATTCACTTTGAGTTAGTTTTGGGTATGGTGTGAGGTAGGGGTCCAAATTCACTCTTCGTCTTTAACATTAATAACATTTTTCTTCCTCTTTAAGACATTCGCTTCTTAAATGTATGTCTTTAAGTCTCCTTTAATCTATCGTGCCCGGAACCTTTTTTCCTTTGCACTTTGTGTGTTGAAGAAACAGGGCCATATGTGGACCACCTCTCCATGGTATGATTGTTTTTCCTGTTTGCACGCACAGTTTATTTTTTTTTTACATTTTTAATGTTTTATTTATTTATTATTTTTTTTAATAGTTTAGCCATGGTATCATTTAACAGGTTCCTCTGGCTGTTGTGTTCTAGTAAAGTCAAAGGCATGATCTGATTTCGGTTTGGTTTTAGCACTAGAATAATTTGCAGGAGGTGTGTGTGTTTCCAGAGTCAGAACATAATGTAGGGGTGACTGCCCCTGTGATGGTAGGGGCCATCCATGATCTTCCCCTGGATTTTTTTTTTCTATTAGAGGTAATTTACATGTTGAAAGGGCCACTCTGACTGCTGGGGACGGAGAGGGTGTAGGTGTGAGGGATAATCACGCAAGAAAGCACTTGTAGGGGCGCCTGGTTGGCTCAGTCGGTAAAGCATCCGACTTTGGCCCAGGTCATCATCTCACGGTGTCTGAGTTCGAGCCCTGCATCTGGCTCTGTGCTGACAGCTCAGAGCCTACTTGGGATTCTCTCTCTCCCCCTCTCTCTCCGCCCTTCCTCCACCTGTGCTTTCTCTCTCTCTCAATATAAATAAATAAACTTAAAAGCAAGAAAAGCACTTGTTGCCACACCCGGCACACAGTGACCGCTCAGTAAATATTAGCCCTTATTGTTGTTACTGTTGTCGTTGTTAGAGCTGCGTGTGTGTGGGACCCACGCACTGGGCCATTTTCTGGCCAGAGCATTCTCCTGCCTCTCTTCTGCCCCTGGAAGGGAAGTTGCCAGTGTCCCAAGACTCTGGGAGGCATGTTCAGGAATGCGACAGCCACCTCTTGGCACCTGTTGGGGCCCTTCCAGAGAAAGAAGACTGGAACTTCTCTCACTTGGTGCTTGCACCAAACTGTAAGTGCTCCAGCCCCCGGGACTAGCCGCTTCACCCAGGGCCCCTGGGGTCTGGCATGGCCCTGGCTTCAAAGCTGTGCATGAGCTGCGCTTTCAGTAAGCCGTGTGGGACTGTCGCCTGGCCAGGTGCCCTTTGCTTGCTTTTGCCTCTAATGTAGAACTCAGAGCTTTGCATCTGAACAGTCTGCATAGCGCTGCCTCCCCATCATCCCCGGAGCCCGGCCCCCGTGTTCGGAACACAGCAGGTGCCCAGTCGACATTGGCCGAGGAATACATCATACATAAGTTCAAGAACAGGCACTGCTTCCTCACTTACGAAATTACTGTGTGACATACTTGTAGTCACTCGTTTGCCTTCCCAAGGTTCTGTGGTTCCCCATTATTTTTATCTCCTTCTTAAACTCATTCAACTCCATTCACCTCCTTTGTTCTCCCTCTGTCTCTCCCAAAATATATAAATAAACTTAAATTAAAAAGAAGGGTGCCTGGGTGGCTTAGTCAGTTAAGTATCTGACTCTTGATTTCAGCTCGGGGCAGGACATGTTAGTTTGAGTCACATGTCAGGCTCTACACTGTCAGCATGGAGCCTGCTTGGGATTCTCTCTCTCTTCCTCTGCCCCTCTCTCACTCTCTCTGTCAAAAATAAACATTTTTTAAAAAAAGAGTTGCATGCTCTACTGACTGAACCAGCCAGACCACTCTTCTATTTTTGTTTAACATTTATTTATTTTTGAGAGAGAGAGAGAGAGAGAGAGAGAGAGAGAGAGCAGGGGAGGGGCAGAGAGAGAGGGGGAGACACAGAATTAGGAGCAGGCTCCAGGCTCTGAGCTGTCAGTACAGAGTCTGATGTGGGGCTCGAACTCACCAATGGTGAGATCATGACCTGAGCTGAAATCCAACATTCAACCGACTGAGGAGCCCCCCTTCTATTTTTTCTTAATTTGATGCATCCCTGGGGCACCTCGGTGGCTCAGTCATTTGGGCGTTGGACTTTGGCTCAGATCACGATCTCACAGTTCGTGGGTTCGAGCCCTGCATTGAACTCTGTGCTGACAGCTCAGAGCCTGGAGCCTGCCTCAGAATCTGTGTCTTGCTCTCTCTCTGCCCCTCCCCTGTTCATGTTCTTTCTCTCTCTGTCTCTCAAAAATAAATTTAAAAAATTTAAAAAATTTAATTTGATGCACCCCCTATTCGAAAGTAATTCCTTATAGCATTGAAATTGTGATGGCATTAATGTAAGATGCCCTGTTATTGTATGGACTGTAAGGGAGGGCAGTTAAATTCATGCTAAAGATTCTGAGACACAACTGAATTCAGAAAAAATGCCAGTCAAAAAAAAATGCACATATCAGAATCAATCAAATATGGTATGATCTCCATACAAAAAAACTGGATCACTGAAAAGCATGAAATTAAATCACCTATAATTCCACCACTCAGAGAGAACCTTTGTTAACATTTTGATATATTTCCCTTCCAAACTTTTTTTTAAAGCAGGCTCCATCCCCAGTGTGGAGCCCAACACAGGGCTTGAACTCATGACCCTGAGATCAAGACCTGAGCTGAGATCAAGAGTCAGATGCTTAACTGACTGAGCCACCCAGTTGCTCCCCAAACTCTTTTTTTTTATCTATTCATATATGGTCATAGAAAAGTGTATGTATATACAAATATATATTAGGATATATCTTTTACAAAACGCAGTCATACTGCACATACTGTTTTCTAGTCTGTTTTACTGATGTCAGTATATCACATTAATAAATATTGTAAAAAGTGATTTTCTCTGGCACCTGGGTGGTTCCGATGGTAGAGCATGTGACTCTTGATCTCGGGGTTGTGACGGTGAGCCCCACTCTGGGTGTAGAGTTTACTTTAAAAAAAAGTATATATATATATGTATATATGTGTGTGTGTGTGTGTGTGTATATTTATGTGATTTTCTCAGCCCAACAAGATTGTTCTAACTTTAGCCAGATCTCTGTAAAAGGCAGCTGCTGCTGTCACCTTTGCCTTAGTGCTTCTCCCACCCCTCCGCCCATCCCCCCCCCGCTCCGCCCATCCTCCCCCCTCCCCCCACCCCACTTACCCCTTCCTTTTGCTCCTCCGCCGCCGCAGCCCCGCCCCTTCCTCTTGCCCCTCCTTCCCAAGTCCCGCCCCCTTCCTCTTGCCCCTCCTCCCAAGTCCCGCCCCCTTCCTCTTGCCCCTCCTCCCAAGTCCCGCCCCCTTCCTCTTGCCCCTCCTTCCCAAGTCCCGCCCCCTTCCTCTTGCCCCTCCTCCCAGGTCCCGCCCCCTTCCTCTTGCCCCTCCTCCCAAGTCCCGCCCCCTTCCTCTAGCCCTTCCTCCTCAGCCGGCCCAAATCCCGTCTGAATCTGGTCCAGTTCAGAGCACGTGGAGCCCAGACTGGCAGGTTGGGCCCGTGAGGCTGCTGGGATGCGGCGGAGCCGGGTGCGGGGGCTGCCGGGGCCCATCCTGCTCTGGGGAGTGCTGACCTGCCGCGGTCCCCGGGGAGGGGGGGCGGGGACTGTGGCCAGAAACGACCCGACCTCCACCACTCTGACCCACTTCTCGCTCTGTCTTCAGCCCACCATGGCCAAGAGGGTGCAAGCTCGCAGGCTGGACGGCATTGACCACAACCCGTGGTGAGCTACGCGGGGCGGGAGGGGGGTTTGCGGGTGTCCCCTCGGGCGTGGGGACGGGGCGGGAGGTCCCTGGGTTCGCTGCACCTCGGCGGTACCCAGGACGGCCCCCTACCTTGTCAGGACTGTGAGGTTTGCATCCACAGCCTGTGAAAGGTGAGACCTGAAGCAGCAGGCTTGGGTTCGAATCCCAGCTTCCCCCCACTTGGCGGGGGCGGGGGGGTGTGCGGGCAGTGACACAGTTGCTCTGAGATCTGCCCTGAAGGGCCTTGGGAGGCTAAGGAACAGGCTGCATGAAAGCAACGGCCGTTACCCAGGCACCCGGGGCAGAGCTTTCCACGAATTTTATTTCACACTTAGTACCGAGTAAGATAAGCTACGTAATGGGGCGCCTGGGTGGCTTAGTCGGTTAAGCGTCCGACTTTCGCTTAGGTCATGATCTCGCGGTTCGTGGGTTCGAGCCCCGCGTCGGGCTCTGTGCTGACTGCCAGCTCAGAGCCTGGAGCCTGTTTCAGTCTGTGACTCCCTCTCTCTCTGACCCTCCCCTGCTCACGCTGTCTCTCTCTCTGCTAGAAATAAATAAAACATATAAAAAAAAAAAGATAAGCTACATAAGAGAAGGTGAAGTACAGGCACCTCTTCCCAGGACATTTGCTGAGGTTACTTTGTTTTTTTTATTGACTCGTTCTGAATATGAAAGGAGCGCAAGCCCGATGGTCCTAGTGACACAAACAATGGAATGCAGTGGGAAGGTGTGTAGGAAGAATGTAGGGAATCTTCCTAATCCCTCCCCACCGCCTTTGGCCAGTGGCATAGAGACCCGTCTGTCCCTTACTTTAAAAACAAAAAAAAAGTTGGCCATTGTTTTTACAAAGCATGGGACCGTTTTTTCTTTCAGACTCCCCTGATGCACGCATTTCGTGTTGTGCAAGGATCTCCCACCTCCGTCCTGCTCTCTGATGGTGTTCGGGACAGAAGGAGCCAAGCCCCAAAGCCCTGTAGTATCCAAGCTTCCTCTCTGTTGGGGGCCCCCAGGGTCCTGCTTCTCAGGCTACCGCCTTCAGTCTGTCTGAGGGAGGCTGGGCGGCCCCGTGGGCTTTGGCACATAGGGTAGAGTCCGCCTTGGAGGGAGGAAATGACAGGGAGGCACCTGGGAGAGGCAGCAGTACTCTTTCCTGACTCACAGACCTGGCCGACTCTTGAACCCAACATGCCCACTATATAGAAGGGGAGACTGAGGCCAGAAGAGGCCAAGTCTTATGCAAAGGTAGGGCGGAGCAGGTGCAGGTCTAGGGGGGACGTACAAGGCGGGGGGGGGGGCGGTGCCAGGAGGATGAGACCATGAGTCAGGACAAAAAAAGGATCCCAGATTCCTGCTGACCCCAGGGCGGTGGCCTGAGGATCAGGACCTGAGAGACCCGACCCAGAGGGCAGCCAGACTCTGTAGGGCATTTGAGCCTGGCTCTCCCCTGTCCCATCACCAATCCCCATGGAATACCCACCACCTGATTTTGCATCTCTCCTCTGCTCTTCGCTGCTGTGTGACTCTGGGCAGGTCACGAGCCTCTCTGAGCCTCAGCAACTCTGTGTCTTCAGAGGCATTGTGGGGCTCTGGGGAGAAAATGACAGATTTTAGATGGAACAGTTATGTATTGTTATGCAAATTCAACTCGGCCAAACTTGATTCCTCTGCTCCCAACCAACCTGCAAAGCACACACCGGCCTCCCCATCCAGCCTCTCAGCCTCTCCCTCCATTTCTCTGAAGAGGCAGGGCCAGAAGAAAGGTTGTCGGGAGGCCAGAAGTGGCTGATGGGCGGGCTGCTGGGGCCCCAGTCTGTCCAGGGCAATGGCCAGGAATATAAGCTTTGAATCCAGCAGATGTAGAATCCAAGGCTGACCGGGCCAAGCACTAACTAGGAGTCCTCGGGCAAATCACTGCAAACCTCAGCTTCTCCATCCTCCTTGTGACTGGAGAATAGGGCCTGTCTGTTACCGGGAAGGTTACTGAGGGTTTCAGACTGTGGTGCTGACAGTTTGTGAAATCCACCTGTGGAGACTCAATGCTCTTATTCTGAAGAATATTCTTATTCTGAAGAATATTCTTATTCTGAAGAATAAAGTGGGACAGGGCAGGGCAGGGTAGCCTGGGAGACCCTGAGATCGCTCACACCAGAAGGAAAACATTGACCCCATGCCTGTGCTCTAAGGGGCTTGCGATGTGACGATGATTTCTTACCGTGGATCCTGGTTGGAAAGTTGGAAAGCCCGTGGGCTGAGACGTGGGGTTGGTACAGTGCATGGCCCAGCCAGCCTCAGAGCAGGGACCTGTGAGTTTGGACCCTCACACGGGTCTCGAGCGGGGGCAGATGCCAGCTGTCCAGTTCTGGAATGAGCTCAGGGCAGCCCTCTCATCCTGCCCTGGCAGCAGGTCCGGGTGGGCAGGTGCTGACTCTCCATTTGTCGCTCAGGGTGGAGTTTGTCAAAATGGCCAGTGAATGCGATGCTGTGAACTTGGGCCAAGGCTTCCCCGACTTCCCACCCCCAGACTTCGCTGTGGAAGCCTTTCGGCACGCCCTCAGCAGTGACTTCATGCTGAACCAGTACACCAAGGCATTTGTGAGTCTCCCAGCCCCGTCCGGAACCCCGGGACACAGGTCTCACCCTGGGGGAGGAAGGGGCAGAGCCCCAGGAATTCAGTGTGGCCGCAGTTCAGTGTTCACTGAGTGTCTCCTCTGTTCCAGGCCCTGGGACAGCTCACGGTCTGGGCACAGGCAAACAAAAAAACTGTGAGCCAGGATCTCATGGTCTAGTAGGAAAAGCAGACCGAAACAAACAAACAAAAGCAGAAAACAAAGGCAGTTGATATGCTGTGATAGAGAAGGATGGGGTGTTGGAGCAGGAAGAAGCCAAGGAAATCTGGGGAGATCAGGGAAGCCTTCCTGGCGGAGGCAACACCTAAGCTGAATCCTGAAAGACAACAAGCTGCCGACTGATTTGACTCTAAATACAAACTCTGTTAGTAAAGGTCACAGAGTAAAGTATCTGCCCGTCCTTGGAGTAAAGCAATGAATGATTCTTAAACTTGGGTATGCATCAGAATTGCCTGGAGGGAGGGTCCCTCCTGCTCCACCATTTAAAGATTACCACGGCCAACAGTTTGCTACTTTGTTGAAGAGTGTTTAGACTTTTAAACTTTTAACTTTTTTAAAAATAGTTTTTATTTATTTTTGAGACAGAGAGAGACAGAGCATGAACAGGGGAGGGGCAGAGAGAGAGGGAGACACAGAATCCAAAGCAGCTCCAGGCTCTGAGCTGCCAGCACAGAACCTGATGTGGGGCTTGAACCCACAAACTGTGAGATCATGACCTGAGCCGAAGTCCGATGCCCAACCGACTGAGCCACCCAGGCGCCCCTAAACTTTTAACTTTTTAAAGTGCCTGTGTAAAGACACACACACACACACACACGCACACACACACACACCCCTAACATGTAAGATTTGCATGTTTCTTTGGCTACAAACAGACTCGTACTATAATATTCTGTAACCTGTTTATTTCACTAAACATCATGTCAAGGACAACTTCCAATGTCAGAAGAGCCTCATTCTTAGTAATGGCCACATAGTATTCCATTGCTTAGCTGTGCTATAATTTCTTTAACCAGCCCTGCACTGATGGACTGATTTTGGATATCTCACAATTATAATCAATGGCACAGTGAATATTTCAGCATGTATATCTTTGTACACATGAGTGTTTCTCTGACAGTTCCCTAGAAGTAAAACTAGAGAATCAGAGGGTGTAAGCATGTAAACATGTGGTGGATATTGTCAAATTGCCTTCCAAAAAAGGCTTACTCCCATCCGCACCAACAGACTGGGCGTGGACCTGGCAGGAAAGTTCATTCTGTAAAGAGACAATTCATTTGTCTCATTCTCTTGCCGATCTTTTAAATATTGATATTATATTCTTATGACATTGGAGCAAATATTTCAATGTTGGTTCAATGTTCAATATGTTCAACGTTGGTTTTCTTTGCTTTTCCTCAATTCTGTGTGCATTGGGCATGAAGACTTTTTCTTTCATGACCTACCTCGTTTTTTTCGTTTAGGTATATATCTTTGTCTTGTTTTGTAAGAGCTCTTTACATATTAGACATCTTACCTCCTTGTCTTAACTTGCAATGCTTGTCTTTTCGTTTTGCTCATGGTGTATTTTCCTGTACAGAAAATTTTATATGGTCAGATCTGGTTTAGTGAGTTATTTAGGTAAGTTTTTGACCTTGGTTTCAGTCACCCGGCTTAGCCCCAAGTGTTTTATAAGTGTCTTTGGCAAACAAGTGTACAGATCCAACCTTCCTCTCAAAGTAGGATGCTTCCAAAGCCGTGATGCAAAGGCTTGTTCCTGCACCTCAACGGTGCATGACCTTGAGCATGTCACTTCCTGTCTCTGAGTCTCTGTTTTTCTACCTGTCAAATGGCGGGGATCGCATAACACACGTCTTGCAAGGCTGCTGGGGTGGCCTGAGGGCACGAATGTCCTTCTTAAACTGAAACCGTGGAGCGGCCGCTCCTGTGGCTCTGCTGGACTGTGCTCCGTGATGACACACACCCTGCCCGGCTCTCCACCAGAGCCTGGCCCTGGGCACTGGGCCGGCGCAGAACAGGCTTGATGGCAAGCGCTGGTGGCGCGGGCCAACTTGGCCTCAGGCCTGCGGCTGCTGGAAAGTGCTAGAATTGCCTGGATGCAGCAGAGCGGGAGGGTGGGCCCAGGCCGAGCCAGGGGGCTGACCACGGCTGCCCCGGCAGGGCTACCCACCCCTGACGAAGATGCTGGCAAGTTTCTTTGGGAAGCTGCTGGGACAGGAGATAGACCCGCTCAAGAACGTGCTGGTGACTGTGGGTGCCTATGGGGCCCTGTTCACAGCCTTCCAGGCCCTGGTGGAAGAAGGAGACGAGGTGAGTGAGCGAGGCTGGGGCCGGGTGGGGGTGAGGGCGGGGGGTCGCTACTGACTCCAGCTAATCAGATCCTTCTGCTAGGTCATCATCATTGAGCCCTTTTTTGACTGTTATGAACCCATGACATTGATGGCGGGGGGACGTCCTGTGTTCGTGACCTTGAAGCCGGTGAGTACGCTGGGTGGGGTGCGGGCGGGCAGAAGGGATGCCAGGAGTGTGCTGTGTTGGCCCCTGGGAGGTGGGAGAGAAGGAAGAAAAGGAGCCCAGTTTCTCCAGGATGGGGGAGGGGTGTCCAGAGTCCCTGAGGAGAGAGGGACTGTGGGAAGGAGGGCCAGATCCCTGGAGCCGAGTGTCAGCTTGGTAATTATTGCCACCACCTCCCCCCTCATCTTCCAGGGTCCCACTCAGGAAGGGGAGCTGGATTCCAGCAGCACCTGGCAGCTGGACCCCACAGAGCTGGCCAGCAAGTTTTCCTCGCATACCAAAGCCCTAATCCTCAACACCCCCAACAACCCTCTGGGAAAGGTACCTGAGAGACCTCCTTCCGGGGCCCCCTCCAGCCTGGGTTCATGGCTTAGCTGTGTTGGGGGCCTCAGTTTCTTCATCTGTGAGATGGGAGGCCAACCTGTCATGAGCTCTTGAGGACCGAGGTCCCAGGGACAGAGCCAGGAGTCCCCAGGGAAGGTACAAGGACCGGCTGGTGGAGCGGGCTGGGGGCCTCCATGGCTTCCCTGAGACCCTGAGACAGTGAACTCCCCTTTCGGAGTGTCTCCTCACGTGTATATTGAGAACATGACTGTATCGATGTCGAGGAAAATCCAGTCTTCCAGCTGGGGTAGCATCAGATCCCACAGGTTAGGGCTCCATCGCACCAGGCTGCCCACCCTTCAGATGCGAAGTTGTCACATGTGCTTCTGACACGCTATAAATTTGGGGTTCCCACCACTCCCTCCTCAGGTTCTATTAACTTGTTAGCGTGGCTCACAGAACTCAGGGAAACTCTTACTTGGGTTTGCCAGTTTATTAAAGGAGGTGACAGGAGAGAACAGCCAGATGAAGAGTTGCACAGGGCGAGGTCTGGGAGGGTCCTGAGGTGCTGGGGTGCATCAGCCTCCCCGTGTATGGATGTGTTCACCCATCTGGAAGCTCTCCCATCACTGCACTGTCGGGACTTCATGGAGGCTTCCTCCCGTAGGTTATCATTAACTTCATTTCCAGCCTTTCTGCCCCCTGGAGGATACAGGTGGGGCTGAAAATTCCAAGCTTCTAATCACGGCTCCATCTTTCTGGCGACCGGCCCCATCCCAGAGCCACCCAGGCGCCTACCCAGCATGTCCCCTCATTAGAACAAAAAACACCTCCGGCGCCCTTATCACTTAGGAATTTACGAGGATGTCAGGAGCCCTGGGTCCCGGATGGATGGGGATCAAAGATCAAATATCAGAACAAGATACGCTCCTCACGCTTGTCCCTGAGAAATTTACGAGGGTTTTAGGTGCTCTGAGGGGGTACCTGGTGCAGAGACCCATATGTATATTTTCTGTTAATTTCGCAGCAGACTTCCCAGGGTGAGTGCTGCCAGGACTCAATATAATGGGGTGGAAGAGCCCTTAGCACTGGCTTCGGCAGTATCCTTTCATCCCTCTGAGCAGGCTCCTCTGTTCGGGGTTGGTCCCCACAGGTGTTCTCCAGGGAGGAACTGGAGCTAGTGGCCAGCCTGTGCCGCCAGCATGACGTGATATGCATCACCGACGAGGTCTACCAGTGGCTGGTCTATGACGGCTACCAGCACGTCAGCATCGGTGAGCCGCGCCGGCCTGGGTGCCTGCGCTTCTCCCCCCTCCCCCACCCCCATCGGTGGCAGGGCCTGGAGCCCCATCTGGGAGTCAGTGCAGGCCCGGTGGTGATTCGGACCCGTGGGTCTGGAGCCACACTGGTTGTGTGACCTGGGGCAGTGACCACACCCCTCTGAAAACAGGCTGGCCCAATGCCTTTGCCTCCAAGGTTGTCTTGAGGATGAGCTGAAATAAGTTCGGTAAATAGCTTAGCACATAGAGTCCAGAGTGTCGAGAGCACGTGTGAGCGCCCACGGGGGCCCCTAGGCACCGCCCCTCCCCTGCCCCTCATCCGGGTCTCAGCAGCTGCTCTCTTTGACCTCGAGCAGCCAGTCTTCCTGGCATGTGGGAGCGCACCCTGGCCATCGGCAGCGCTGGCAAGACCTTTAGTGCCACTGGCTGGAAGGTGAGTGGACGGAGGGGTAGGGGTACCGCCTCCGCGCCAGGATCTTGGGCAGGCGAGTGCACTGCTGGGGAACTGACCTAAAGGGCCTCACCGCCTCCCTGTGTTCCTGGGCCAGGTGGGCTGGGTCCTGGGCCCCGACAGCCTCATGAAACACCTGCGCACGGTCCATCAGAACTCTATCTACCACTGTCCCACGCAGAGTCAGGTGAGGAGAGGCAGGGAACCCCCACCACGGGAGAGGTGGGTGGCCGGGGAGGGGCAACGACAGATCAACCTGTTGGCCCATCTCCCTTCCCCAGGTGGCAGTCGCCCGGAGCTTTGAGCACGAGCAGCTTCACTTTGGCCAACCCGACAGCTACTTCGTGCAATTCCCACAGGCCATGCAGCACGCCCGTGACCACATGATACACAGCCTGCAGTCTGTGGGCTTGAAGCCTGTGGTCCCCCAGGGCAGCTACTTCTTCATCGCAGACATCTCAGACTTCAGTGAGCAGGAGGCCAGTCCAGCCGGGTTGTGTGGGGACTGGGGGAGGGGGGTCGCTGGAGGCCGCCCAGGTTTCAGTGTGGCTTCTGTCCTCCAGAGAGCAAGATGCCTGACTTGCCTGGGGAAGTGGATGAGCCCTACGACAGACGCTTTGTCAAGTGGATGATCAAAAACAAGGTGGGCTTGGAGCACCTGGGTGGCTTAGTCGGTTAAGCGTCCGACTTTTGCTTAGGTCATGATCTCGCGGTTCGTGGGTTCGAGCCCCGCGTCGGGCTCTGTGCTGACTGCCAGCTCAGAGACTGGAGCCTATTTCAGAGTCTGTATCTCCCTCTCTCTCTGACCCTCCCCTGCNCTGGAGCCTATTTCAGAGTCTGACTCTCCCTCTCTCTCTCCCTCTCCCTCCCCTGCTCTCTCTCTCTCTCTCTCTCTCTCTCTCTCTCCTAGAAATAAATAAAAATACCAAAAAAAAACCAAAAAAAACCAAGGTGGGCTTGGGACGTCTAGGTGGCTCTGTGGGTTAAGCATCCGACTCTTGGTTTCCTCTAGGCTCATGATCTCAGAGTTCATGAGTTCGAGCCCCACTTCAGGCTCTTTGCTGACGGAATCCCCACTTGGGATTCTTTCTTGCTCCCTCTTTCTCTGCTCCTCCCGCAGTCTCTCTCTCTCACTCACAAAATAAACTTAAAAAAAAAAAAAACAACAAGGTGGGGGTGCTGGCTGGTTCAGTCAGTAAAGTGTGCAACCTTATTTTTAAGACTTCTTTTTTCTTATTTTTTAAAATACTTTTTAAATTTTATTTTTTTATTTTGGAAAAAAAGGAAAAAAGTTTGAGAGGGGGTAGAGGCAGAGAGAGAGAGAGAATTTCAAGCAGGCTCTCTGCTGAGCATGGAGCTTGACATGGGGCTCAATCCCACAACCCTGGGATCATGGCCTGAGCCGAAATGAGAATTGGACGCTCGACCGACTGAGCCACCCCGGCGCCCCCAAGTGTGTGACTCTTGATCTTGGGGTTGTGAGTTTGAGCCCCACATAGAGTATAGAGATTACTTCAAAATAAAATCTTTTTTTCCGTTTTTTTTTAGATTTATTTATTTTTGAGAGACAGAGAGAGATAGTGCGTTAGTGGGGGAGGGACAGAGAGAGAGGGAGACATAGAATCCGAAGCAGTTCCAGGCTCTGAGTTGTCAGCACAGGGCCCCATGTGGGGCTCGAACCCACAAACGGTGAGATCATGACCTGAGCTGAAGTCGGACCCTCAACAGACTGAGCCACCCAGGCGCCCCCAAAATAAAACCTTATAAAAAAAAGAAAAGAGCAAGGTGAACCAGACTCTGCCGGAGCACCTGTGTGTGGTTTTACAGGCTGAGCCCAAATCCAGCCCAGCCTCTGCCCTCAGCCCTGGTACAGGGGTGCGTCTATGTCAAGGAATGGGGAGTCGGTCTGGAATTTGCAGAAAGACACCGTGCAGGCCTCAGCCCTCCCATCGGTACAGCGCGGAGTTGGCTCATTAACTCCGAGCTCAGCCAGCTGCAAGCGCTGATCTCAAGCTTATGTCCTCTCTCCCTCTGCCCTAACCCGCCACGTGGTGCTCCCCTCTCTCAGCCTCCATCTCCCCTCCCTACGTACTACGGGGAGGGATCGAGAACCATGCTCTGGGATTCTCATCCTCTGACCTTGACACAGCACTAGAAGGGGCTCCACGGAAACTTCCTTCCTTCCCCGACCCCCTCGAGGGAAGCTCTCTGTCCCCAGAGCCAAGGATTGCCGGGCTGTGAGGCTGTGCTGAGACATGGGCTTCCTCCTCCCCAGGGCTTGGTGGCCATCCCGGTCTCCGTCTTCTACAGCGTGCCCCATCGGAAGCTCTTTGACCACTACATCCGCTTCTGTTTTGTGAAGGTAAAGGACGGGGCTCTAGAGGGGAAAGAGGGCCCCCCTCCAACCCCCCGTGGCCCACCGGTGGTGTGGGGAGACGGGCCGGACCGATCTGTGTTGATGCAGGATGAGTCCACGCTCCAGGCCATGGACGAGAAGCTGCAGAAATGGAAGAATGAACTCGGGCCCTGACATCGCCCACTCGGCCCCGCCCCCCCCCAGTTGTTGCAGGTTCCACTTTGTCCGGGTTCCAGCCGTTCCCAGGTTGGGCGTAGATGGAGCGGGGGGCCCCTCCTCTGTGACACAGGATGTTCCCAGGCAAGAGCCCTCTTTCTTGATCTTGGTGGATTTGGGAACACTGCCACAGTGCCTGTATTCCTGTCGTGGTGGTGACTTGGACCTGACCTGGGCCTCTCCCTGCTCCTCCCCGGGTCGGATCATAGAGCCCGGGCCCCTCTGTATTTCCCGCAGTCTTGCCTGAGGCTCAACGGTTAGAAGGCAACAGTGTGGTGGCCTTGAGTCCCAGCCCTGCTGTAGCCCCAGCCAAGGTTTTAGCATCCCTCCCTTTCCTTATTTAACCTTCACTTTGGGAAGCTGTCTTTAGGCTTGAGTCCTCAAACCAGTACTTTTCACCCATAATAAAGTTTTAAGTTATTTAGACCCTTATTTGCTACTTCTCTCTGCTTCACACCCTGGTGCCGATCGCCAATGAGGACTTGGTCAGAGTGGAAGGCACCTTGGGCTCCTGGCTGGCTCGGTCAGTAGAGCATGTGATTCTTGATCTCCGAGCTGTGAGTTCAAGCCCTACATTGGGCGTGGAGCCTATTAAAAAAAAAAAAAAAAAAGGATGGAAGGCACTCAGTGAAACTTAGCTCCCAGCCCCTCTTTGTACAAATGTATTTTGTGGAGGAAAACTGAGGCCCAGAGAAGGACAGAGACTGGGGACTTGTCTGACATCACAGTTAGTTAGTGGTAAAACCAGGCCGAGAACCCAGGGCTCAGATGGTTGTGTGTCGCTGTGGTATGTGTGCGTGTGTATAGGAAACAGAGGCCCCAGCTGAGTGTCTAACAGGGAAGATACGAACAGTCCTATCCCACAGGGGTCAGAGGCCAGGCCAGGAGGGCCAGGGAGTTTAGACAGAAGGGGAAGGAAACTGTTCCTTCTTTCTTGCGCCCCTGCGTGCCAGGAGCCTTAGATGCCCACCGCCCCATCAAACAATCCTCCAGGACAGCAGTTTCTGGCAGAATTCATTTGGAAGGACGTGCTGGGGACTTGTCTTTAAGCTGCATTACAGGCCAAGCCCATGTGTTTGCTCATATGATACATTTATTTGCAATGGGGACATAGGATACAAGAAAATGTATTTGGTGTTTGTCCTCGGTTCCTGGCACAGGACTCCTAAAACCCTTGGAATTCCCTGAGAGATTGGACTCGTCCTTTGTTATTCATAATAAGCCCCTTTGTTTTTTGTTTTGTTTTTTGTTTTTAATGTTTTTTATTTATTTCTAAGAGAGAGAGAGAGAGAGACAGCGTAAGCAGGGGAGGGTCAGAGAGAGAGGGAGTCACAGACTGAAACAGGCTCCAGGCTCTGAGCTGGCAGTCAGCACAGAGCCCGACGCGAGGCTCGAACCCACGAACCACGAGATCATGACCTAAGCGAAAGTCGGACGCTTAACCGACTAAGCCACCCAGGAGCCCCTATGATAAGCCCCTTTGACCATGTCTTTAGAGGGTCAGAACTTTCAGCACCAACCCCTGAGGGAGGCGAAAGAGACTGAACGTTGAGTTCAGAGTTCAGTCCCTTGGCCAGGGGTTTAACAGATTGTGCGTAAACCCCACGTAAAAACCCCGAGTTGATGAGGCTCAAGGAGCTTCTGGATTGGTGAACACATCTGATGAGCTGGGAAGGTGGTGCGTCACGAGGCAGCCTGGAAGTTCTTCCTCCCCCGAGACCTTACTCTCTGTAGCTCTTCCACGGGGCTGTTCCTGTCTTGTACCTTTTTTTTTTTTAAGTGGGGTTCATGCTCAGTGCAGAGCCCGATGCGGGGCTTGAACTCACGACCCTGATACCAAGACCTGAGCTGAGATCAAGAGTCAGATGCTTTCTTTTTTTGTAATGTATATTTATTTTTGAGAGAGAGAGAGGGAGGGGAGGGGCAGAGAGAGGGCAGGAGGGGTACTGAGGATCTGAAATGGGCTCTGTGCTGAGAGCAGACAGCCTGGTGCAGGGCTCGAACTCACGAACCACAAAATCGTCACCTGAGCTGAACACTGACACAAGATGATGACATGAGCCCATGGAGCTTAACCCACTAAGCCACCCAGGCGTCCCAACATTGTATCTTTTCTAATGAGACCGTAACTTAAGTGTAGCACCTTCCGGAGTGCCATGAATCATTTCAGGGAATTACTGAACTCCAGGAAATGGCAGAAATGCCCAAATTTGTAGTCATCCAAGCAGAAGTAGGGGTAGCCTAGAGACCCCACTTGCTGATGGCATTTGAAGTGGGGGGCAGTCTTGTGGGACTGAGCCCTTAACCTATGGGATCTGCACCAACTCTCAGTACCTATTGTCAGAACTGAACTGAAGCGTAGGACACCCACCTGGTGTCAGAGAATTGCTGTTGGAACACGTTTTAAGCTAGGCCATGGTCCACTTCCCTCCTTCCCCGTCCAAGCTGTGACTTGGTACCACTACCACAATTCCAAAGTCAAGACTGTGAAACAGAATACCAGCTCAGGGGCTCAGGCTTGGAGCCCCTTTGCACATACATAATCTGATGGCAGGAAAGTCCCCGGTGGGGCAAACCCATGGATCTTACAGGGAGAAACACCCCAATCAAACGTTCCATGTCTCGTGAGCCGATCCAAAATCTCAAATCTGTGTGACTCTACAGAATTTCGAGATCTTAGACTGAGTAACCTCAGCCAGCCTGAGAGGGCAGATCTGACTTAGATGCATAATCAGATAGTGGAAGGAGGAAATGGTAGAATAAACACAACCCTCGCAATGTCAACACACACACTGAACTTGAAATTAGTCTTTTCTCGGGGCACCTGGCAAAACTTACAACTTTTTAAAACATGTTTTATTTATTTTTGAGAGAGAGAGCATGAGCATGAGCAGGGGAGGGGCAGAGAAAGAGAGGGAGACACAGAATCCGAAGCAGGCTCCAGGCTCTGAGCTGTCAGCGCAGAGCCTGACGCGGGGCTCAACCTCATGAACCGCGAGATAATGACCTGAACCTAAGTGGAATGCTCAACTGACTGAGCCACCCAGGCGCCCCAAAACATACGACTCTTGATCTTGGGGTTGTGAGTTCCAGCCCTATGTTGGGCCTAGAGCTTACTTAAAACATGAAACTGTGAAAAAAATTTTTAAAAATAAATTAATCTCTCCTCTTTTCATTTGTAAGCTCCAGATTAGCATCTGCTTTTGCTTACCATCGTGTCCCTGTTGGTTACTAGAGGGAGTTCCAGCCTCAAAATAGGCCCTGCTCAATAACTATTTGTTGATTGAATACATATCGGCTCAAATTTATTAACTTAAAAAAAACCCACAAAGCTCATTCATTGCTGACAGGAGTGCAAATGGTATGGTCGCTTCGAAAGAGAGTATGGCAGTTTTTTACAAAGCTAAACATAGCCATTTTAAAAAAAATGTTTAATGTTTTATTTATTTCTGAGAAAGAGAGGCAGTGTGAGCAGGGGAGGGTCAGAGAGAGAGGGAGACACAGAATCTGAAGCAGGCTCCAGGCTCTGAGCTA